CTCCACGCTGACAAGTCCACTGTTGTTAGTGTTGAAGTAAAAACGGGCCTCGTTAATGTTTATTAACGTTACGCTTAATATTTAGTTTTCTGTGAGATGCGTTTTAATTTGAGTTCATCTCGAGCATGGCAATGTTTAGCAGAAAACAAAGCGAGTTCCGTGATGTGAAGGCCAGAGCCGTCGAGTGTGATTTAATTACGAGAAAGCTATCAATGTAGGGCAATAGCCGTGCTTGAAATAGCTGATGTATAGGGCGTGCAGAGGGGAGAAAAAAAACTAGAAAAGGGTGACTCGATATGGGTCCACAGTGTGGAGTCTAAATTGAAGCCCTAGATTACATGGATTTTTATCGACTGCGGGTATCATCATCAACCCTCCCGGGATGAGTTTCACCTTTGCTGGTTTAAAACGTATTCAGACGTGTGACATGGGGCCAGCCGCTGGATATGACAAAAAAAAATTGACTTGAACGACACGCCTGCATTTACATTCAGGTGAAGACGCGGATTAAGGACTCTGCCCACTGGCCTGAAACATATAAATACGGCTCTGGGAGAAAATATAATTTTTATTGATGATGACATGGCCATCCTAAAATTGGGGATTATCATTTTCATGTCACATCGCATACATTACCAGCCTATAGTTGATTATCCACTTTCTGCCCTATTTTCTTTTGTTGCTGCCTTTCCCTGTCTCATTGACATTTCAAAAACATAGCACTTCGCTTTAAAATGTTACTCCAGACCTGTCATTTATTTTACCCGCCGTTAATTCAACATGATGCATGCGTGTTCATGAGGTACTTATTTTGTAATCATTGAAATCCCTCCCACAACAAGGCACATCATCTGAAAATTTTATAATTTTCTCGTGGCATTATTAAATTTTCTTACAGGTATTCTGGATTACACAACATTCATCTCCTTAAAGCTACCGGTGCATTAAAATGTTTGAAATGGTCAGGTAGAATATAATAAGTGTCATATTTACAAAAGCCCTTCATTTATCCAGAGAGTAAATGGCAGCGCTCGGCATAAAAAAACAAGCAAAAGCTGAGGGCCTCAAATAGTTCAAGAGACCCTGATTTGTGAAAAATAAGGGTACATCCCATATCATCTTAAATTAAAATCTCTGTAATCTCTATCTTGTCTGTATCTCTCTTCTCTCATATATGTTTACATCTTTATTTTTGCTACATTTCCATATCCACGATTTAGCTCCATCTCTTTCTTATGTGTCTCAGGTTCCCCAATGGGCTTTCACCAACACTGCCAGAAGGCCTCGCCGGGTATAAAGACTCTCATTACAGGCGGGCACTGCGTTGTTATGTTTGACCAATTCCTCAAAGAGTTCTTTGTATTTGTAAGGAAACTTAAAATTCCCGGAGAAAACTAAGACGTGCGATGGGGATACCATTCAAAATGCACACGTGATCCATGAACCCCATTTACAGAACACTGGATGACAAGTGTGTGTCTGTGTGCCACTAAATCCGTCAGCATTTGCTTCCACGCCCCATTTTATTTGGACTGTACGCGACTAAAACGTTTCAATGTAATGACCTCATCAGCCATGCTCAAGCCACAGCTGGATGAAGTTTCACCCAAGCCGTAGCCATCGCCCGACCCTGTGACACAATCATCCACCCAGCACCTGAACGTGAGCGGCATCCACCAGTCCCACACCCTCGGCGGATGTCGTCTCGGACACGTCACATTCACTGGCTGCTAAGCATAGTTAGTGATAATGGTTACTGGTAATAGGTAGTGATAATAGTAATACTAGTTAATAATAATAGTTAGTAATAATAGTTAGTAATACTAGTTAGTGATAATAGTTAGTTATACTAGTTAGTAATAATAGTTAGTAATTATTATTATACGCCATCCTCTCCATTGACGGCTTCCTGGCTCAGCCCACTTGTCGTCCCTAACAGTTCGGTAATATATATCATCGTAATATATATAATCATAATATATATCATTAGTATAGTTCGAGTACTGTGTCTAACCTGTGGGTGTCCTCTCGTCCATGTGCTCCTCTCTTTCTGTCAATGTAGTTGCACGCATGCAGCAGCTCTCCACGCTTCTGGACAGCCTCGTACCTAGTTATGCTTGCAGACAAGTTGGCAGATTGCAGAGGTTTGTTTTGAGGGTTAAAATCTCACCTCTGCTCAGTAACTGTGTAAGATGTAAGTCGGCCCTTTTCTGGAAAAAAAAATCTCATTTCACTCCAACTGAAAATAGTGAGGGAACAGCACTCAATTCAGGCTCACAATTCTGACTCCCTGGTGGAAAGTCCACATTCCAATGGCAGGGGCGAGCGATCCATACAAACATATGATAACAGTTCTGTATGCGATGACCTAGTGGAAGTTAACAGCCTGTGCCTGGGATCGGTCCCTGCATGGCAAATGTCCATTTGGCCACGCAAGTTCACTCTCCTTCGCGGCGTGTATCACAGAATCAGAATGTTTACACTGCAGCAGGAATCCCGATGAGCTTTAAAGCTCTTTTTCACAGATGTCTAGTTGGGGCGGGTCAGAACGTTACAACAACAACAGCAACAAAACAACAACAGGCAATACAACGCACACGAGAGGAGTGCGAAGTATAGGAAAGGTAAGAAAATCACAAATAAACTTTGTTTTATTTTATCAGGTAAAGCCCGCTGATATCACCCCACACACACAAAACAGCACCCATACCAGATGAGCTGGTATCGAGCCTGTGGGTGGGTGAAATCCAGAGGTGTGGACTCGAGTCATGTGACTTGGACTCGAGTCAGACTCGAGTCATGAATTTGATGACTTCAGACTCGACTTGGACTTGCATAACAATGACTTTGTCCCACCTCTGAGGTGTGGACTCGAGTCATGTGACTTGGACTCGAGTCAGACTCGAGTCATGAATTTGATGACTTCAGACTCGACTTGGACTTGCATAACAATGACTTTGTCCCACCTCTGGTGAAATCTGTCCACTTTCCTTGACTCGCTGCAAATCATTGCCCTGCCTGGCATTGATCATGGACGCATCTGCCAAAGATCATACCCCATCGGCAACAGATGATGACTAATCTGCCATAGATCATAATCAGAATTCCACAGGTCACGACCCATCTGTGGGCAGGCGATGGTACGTCTGAAGCAACAGTTGCTCTGTCTAGCACAGAGCTGTTATCGGGTTTTCACTTTCTTACAACAAAACATATCGAGCAAGTTTTGTTTATTTAAAGAAAAGTTACGTGGAATATCAATGAGGATGGAGGAAAATGCATTCGTCCTTCAAACACCACATTCTTGTTTGCGAACAGGATAGACTGTGTATACCCCACCTGATATTGCGTCGAGTTAACGCATTCAATTAATTTTAAGCGAAAATTATCTACAAGTGATGGATGACATCCAATTAGGAAGCTACTGTAAAGAACGACACTCGATTTTGTTGGAAAATGGGCTTGCTGCTCCAGTTATAGGAATACAAATAAGTCATTGTTTTATTACAAAGTTCGAGTTACTCCCCCCTAGTTTTATACTTGACTATTTTTGTGAAAAATTGTAGTTGGTCTATGGTCACTTCCTTTCGGAGTAATTAATAATTTAACCCCCCCCCCCTTTGGTTCTGGCGTCTCGTGATGCTGTGTACGGCATGGGAGGCGAGGTGTATAAATACACGATGGTGATAGTTTATTATTCACGATGATAATAGTTTATTATTCACGATGATAATAGTTTATTATTCACGATGGTAATAGTTTATTGTTCACGATGATAATAGTTTATTGTTCACGATGATAATAGTTTATTATACACGATGGTAATAGTTTATTATTCACGATGATAATAGTTTATTGTTCACGATGGTAATAGTTTATTATACACGACGGCAATAGTTTATTATTCACTATGATAATAGTTTATTATTCACTATGATAATAGTTTATTGTTCACGATGAAAATAGTTTATTGTACACGATGGTAATAGTTTATTATTCACTATGGTAATAGTTTATTATTCACGATGAAAATAGTTTATTATACACGATGGTAATAGTTTATTATTCACTATGGTAATAGTTTATTATTCACGATGAAAATAGTTTATTGTTTCTTAACCATGCGGTGAAACTCAAGAGACCAGGACGAGTCTCATTTGCAAAGGAGTGACCCCCGGTTCACCGACATGACACGAGTACAGCGATAAAGCATTAGGAAGCGGTGCAAACGCAACAGCGTTACATGAGAAATCGAAATTTTTGCACAAAAATAATGATGATGATGTTTAGAAACCCAGCATGGGTGAAGTTTGCGGGGGGGGGGGGCACGGGGGGCAACGCCCCGCACAAACTGGACACCTTTATTAATTTATTTTCAGTAGTTTACAATTAACATGAAACCAGTATTAATTGTATCCTCCCGCGATTCCTAATGCGACGGACAAAGCGAGCCCGCGCCTCCCACCCCCGGCCCCAAGTAACGAAGTCAAACTCCGCCTCTGACTTAAGGGGCCATCCATTAAGTAGGCAGCAGAGATCTGTGAACTCTTGACCCCTCCTCACCCCCCCCCCCCCCTTGTAGGCACGCGAACTCTTTACACCCCCACCCCCGAATCCTATATTTAATACACGCAGAAACGATCAAGGATTAATAATATTAACGTGTTTAAGCAAACAGATAGTCCACCGCCGGACGATCTAACTCATTTGAAGGCCAACGTAGACAAATTTAATGTATGGCCCCTAACCCAGTGATGGTGACCCTCCCAGGGATTCGTCTCCCACCAGACGTCTCCCCACCAGGAGGAATCCCGTCGTGACGGGCGACTTTGCTCGTCGCAGGCACCAGAGGGCGCGTGGCGAATGTGGTTGGAGCGGACAGCGGCAGGGAGCGAGAGTCTGCGAGAGAGGGGGAGGATGGAGGGTGGCGTGGAGGAGGAGGGGATTAGGGGGTGGAGGAGGAGGTGGTGTGTGTGTGTGGTTTTAGTGGGTGGCGCTGCTAGACGAAGGAAGCCGCCTTGTGGCTCCCTCGCCGAGGAAGTCACCGCCCCACTTTTCAAGTTACATCCAAAGAGCCCCGGACGAGAGGCGCACAGACACACGCACAGACACACACACACACGCGTCAAGGCGGGACACTGAAGCGAACAGGGGAGACGAAGACGCACGGACATAGTCTGAAGTAGGAGGCGTACACAGAGAGAGAGAGAGAGGGCGAGACAGACCGAGGACGGGAAGGGAAGACAGAATAAAAGTTGCAATAATCGTTTGCCTGCGTTGCATATCATCAGCTGGGGCTGGCTGCGAGGCCGTGTGAGCGAGTTCGTGAGTGAGTGTCACTCAGTTGTGGTCGCTGCTGTCCTAGTTGCCATCTGCCGGCGCGTGTGTTAGTTGTGCGGCGACAGTATTTGTCTCTGGGGTTTAGTTTAGTTTTGTTTATCGCGGCGGGGGCAAGTCGAGCTTGTGGAGTGGAGAGCAGGAGATGGCAGGCGCACAGCCTGGCGTGCACTCGCTGCAGCTCAAGCCCATCCAAGTGTCAGAAGACCTGCGGAAAGGAAACAAGTTCCTGAAATGGGAAGAGGTGAGTGAGTGGCGACGCCTGTGACACCCCCACACCTGGCTCGCTAGGTGACACACGCCTGCTTCTAGAAGTGACACACGGCTCCATGGCTCTTCACACACACCTGCCCCTTCTCTCCAACACCACGCGTGGTTTACTGATGCCACATCTGGCTCTCTGTCTGTAAGTGACACGCTAGGCTCTTTAGGTGACAATCGCATTGCTCTAGAAGTGACACCCACCTGGATATGCTGGTGGCACACCCTGCACCGCTCCAACACCACACGTGGGTTACTGATGTCACACCACCCGGCTCTCTCTCTCTCTGTGCCACACATATGACCCTCTAGAAGTGACACACCTAGTAGTTCTTTCCGAATTCACACCACACTTGGCTCTGTATTTACTCGCCACACATACACCTGCTTTCTAAATGGACGGCTCTTTAAGAGTACACACACCTGGCCCTTGACTTGACACCCCCTGACTTTCGATAAGTGACACCACATCTGGCCGAATCTCTCTTTAAGTGACACACACCTGCCTTTGTTTACGTGACACACACACCTGACTCTGTTTACGTGACACACACACACCTGCGTTTCTCTAGTAGTGACACACCTGGTTCTCTTAGTGACAAATATATGGCTCTCTCCTGAAGTGACACACCTGGCGGCATACGTGACACACACACCGGACTCTATTTAAGTGACACACACTTAGCTCCCTAAGTGGCACAAACCTGGCTCGATCTGTAAGCGACACACACACACACGTGGCTCCATTGGCACCACCGCACCAGCATCCCACCTTATTGGATGTGACGTCCTTACAATATCACCATCACGGCACGAATGTGTCCAGCGTCGCTTATGCACGGTTACAATGCAGTGTTGTGTCGTGGTGAGCATTCAGCTTCCCTGTACGTGGTTTATCGTGTGCGGAGGCATTTGCGTGGTGTCTATACTGCGGCGCACATGCAATGCGCAAAGTATTTTCATGAGTCAACAAATATTTGTGACTTTCTAATAAAGCTATACAGTAAGTACAACGTGATATATGTCCCGTAGTACATGTGTAAAAACAATCCCAGGGCTCCAGTGCTAAACTGATCATTGACTGGCGTACCATCTGTTGCTCCGAGGCAATGGTGAAAATTCCACATTGCCATGGTGGGGATAAGTCTATTCTTAGCGCAGTCACTGTTGCTTTGTTCCCATCATGCAGTGGCTCAGCTGGTGTTACTCGTCTTGCCAGTCTGGAGTGATGAAGGTCCGCGTTGAGTGCCGTACATCGAGGCTTGGGATGTAGCTCGGTTGCAATACATGGAGACCTTTCAAGTAATAATCCCATGGGTTCAATCCCCGGATAGGGTACAATTCAATTATGTCATCATCACCACCATCATCATCATCATCCCATCTTCTTTGGGATTTGTAAAATGACCCATTACCTTGTGAGATTGCACCGCATGTATAGGATGATGGACAGTTATCAGTTTTATTAAGGAAGTTATGGGTCTCGCCATAGCAATGAGGAATTTCCATAATCGGCTCACGACCAACATGGTATGTGTGTGTTACCTCCACAACTCATCCCATTGTTAAACTCTTGTACCTGTTCATCCTTACAACAGTATGTCATTGTTACTCGTACAACTGTGGATAGCACTCATCATATGTAATAATGTAAACCGCCGATTATCTATAAGTAAATGTACCATCCCAAAGTGGATAAACACATCAAGTGGCTTGCTGATGGAGCACCAATAGGACACACACACTGCGCCCGTTGAGTAACTTGGGGCGGTTGCACCGTTCATGATCACTTATAACGTATTCATTGGATATCGAAGGCTTGCTGGATGATTATTCTCTGCGGTTACCTCCTAAATGTATTCGGTTGAATCACAGAATTGTACGTGGCGAGCCGTGTTACGCACTTGAAATGTCTCGTGAGTAACGACGCAAAGTACAAACCAATCGCCTCCGCTATTGTAACGTTAAGAAACGGTTGAATAAACTCCATCATCACGCGATCTTCGTTAGAGTCTTGTCACTCACTTGCAGTCGATAAAGACGACATTTATAATAACAATCATTAATTCACAGCGCCCCGTCCACAACACATGACTGGGGGAAGGGAGGGCCGTGTCAGTTATTGTCAAACGACCCGTATCAGTTGTCAAACGACCCGTATCAGCTGTGCTGGCTATCTGACTTCACCACGCTTTGTCAATGTGTGCGTTGAGCAGTAAGAATGGGGTGCAAGGATCACTCTGCACTGACGTGAGCCCTGGCCAGGACTCAAACTTCGGCGTTGGTGGGGAGGGTCAAAGTGCAGTGGCAGTTGCCGGCACATGACACGTGCGTGGTGATGCATGGCAGTCGCGTACACGACGCGCACTCCAAGAGCTGCGACAAGTTCACTTGCTGTGGGCAATCTGACGTCTCGTGTCGTTATCCCACCGAGCCGCTCACAGCAAGAGTTGTGCGTTTATTACGAGCTTGTCCATTAGTCATTGCAGTGGGTTAGTCATTGTCGGCTGGTGAGTAGGGTCACCGCACACAAAGCGTGTCGGCACCGGGTGTCTTCTCCGTTCTCACTGCGTGGCCAGGCGCGCAACCTCGCGTCTCGACACCTCCCCGTGAGCACGGTTGACCACGTACGGTGCGAAAGAAGTCCAACGCGCATCCACACGCGGCAGCTCAGACGCAGCAACCGCGCTGCTCGTGGCGTGCCAGACTTGTGCGGACGGGACTCGCCCTTCGTCAGCCACCGAGCGTGACAGATGCTGCTTGCTGCCGTGCGCTCATCACACATTGTGGAATGTCTCGTTGGTGCCGCCTGTTCACGCTGAACAGCCCTGTCAGCCGGCGTCACGTTAATGCGCAGTATTGTTGCGATGCTATCGTGCCCGTGGGTGATTGCTCCATTGGCGAGCTGCCCCTCTACGTTGGCTGGGCATCGTCGTTAGCCATTGTCCATCCACTGCTGGATGAAGGCACACCCACGCTGTTGCCATCTCTCCCGGTCTCCTGCGATGCCACGGTCCATCTCATTCTCTGCACAGGGACCGGTCCCATTGCGCCACCGCTGCGGTGTTCGTCTCGCCTGGCACATTCCCTCCTTTGACTGCCGTTCTTTACCCAGTATTGTCTGTTGCCCATCATACCTTTGAGTGGTGTGGCCTGCCCAAGCCCTCTTATCGTTTGTTAGTGGGTTGTTTACCTTTTATTTCCTTGGCACTCCTATCGGGTTTTCTGTTTGTTGTTTATTTCTGATCCACTCCTACTGGACGGCTGTTTTAAAGAGCTTCATAACTCATCGGATTCCTCCAGGATAAATGCAGATTCTCATTCTGATCTTTGTGGAATCACTGCGATACCTGCTTTGTGTTTATTCCTTTGCTCCACGTCATCCCATTTCTGTCTCTCCATGTAATTCCAATCACGTTTCTTATTATTATTATCATCACCCGTGATCGACCCACTGCTGGATGTATGTCTTCATTGCCAGTCACCGACTATCACGATCCTGCGACGTGACAGTTCGTATTTCGTCTGCACACTAGCCGATTCGAGCGCTCCATCTCCAGGGTGTACGCCCATTCACTTATTTGGTTTCCCCTCTGATGCTTATAGTCTTGATCACCTGCAAATTATTGTGCAGCATCTCTCATCGTTAATCGTTAAATCACGACCAAGCACAGCACCTCGATGTCGTATCGCGCGAACCAACTCATCTCGCGCAAGTAAGTAAAGATCGATCACTCGAGTGTTCAGTGTCAACATTCCGACGGCTTTCGACGGTGCGTGCCGAGGTGACCACACCGCGGCTTCCCGAACACCGAGACGCAGGCCCGGAGCCGACACGACTTTACTCCGACAGCGAGAGAAGAGAGCGACAGGTCAAGCGTGCATCCTTCTTACACCCCGGACATGTGTAAATGTTTTAGGTAGGAATTTGTATTGTGGAGGTGGGGTGGAGTGGGTGCAGCAAGTGAGCGGTTGTGCGATGTCACTGATCTGGCATCGCATGGCCCTCTCTCCCTCCCCCCATTGTCTAACACACGTGGACTGCGCCCCCCTCTCCCTCCCTCTGTCTCTGCCCCTCTCCCCCCATTGTCTCACGCACTCGCTTTACTTGCACGACTTGTACTTGTGTGCTCCGACATTGGCGCTGGCTGCCCTGCCCGTGCTGTTGACGCAGCACGGCTCTGCTCACTCTGGAAGCCCTGAGAAGCAGTCGCATTCGGAGGCTTGCCCCCTCTTTTCTTGTGTTGCGATAGAAACGTCGTGGTTTTTTGCTTTTACTTTTTTTTATTGAAATGTTATTTTATTTGTATTTTTTGTCTACGTGACTTTACCGAAAGAACCAAGAATATGAATAGAAAAAAAAGCTTTACAGTTCACGTTCAAATCTAGCATGTTGGTTTCTCTGTTGTCGGTGGATATCAGTGGCCTGCCCATGGTGCAAGTGGTGCAAGGAGTGAAATTGTCCGTGATAAATTTGCACGTGATAAGCCACTTAGTTGAGCTCACATCTGTGGACAGGTCGCTTCTAAATAAGGAGCTATGTAGCTCAGTGGGCCTTACCTGGTAAAATTAATCATTTTTAATTTAGTTTAGAAATGAGGCCCCATTGTGCAATTTCCTCCTCGCTTGCCCCCGTTTTTGTCACCTGTTGGCTGGGCCAAAATGTAACGATTGCCCCCCCCCACCACACCAGGTGCAGTTGCACCGCCTGCACACGACCGGCTATGGCACTGCTTTCCACGAATGATGGGACTGAAGCAGTTTGACACAACTGCATAGTTTTTTAGTTTTGTTATACAGTTGTGCTATCCTGCTCTCTGATGTATTCTCGGGTTGTGCCACGGAGTTGGTCGGTATGACGACCACCGCTTCGGTCCACGCGCCGTCCCGGGAGCTTCTTCAGAAACTGAATTCCTGAGGAAACTCGCGGTTCATGGAGCGAAACGTCGGACATGATGCACGTGCCGAACAGCACACTGCACA